TGCCGCTGGGAAATGGAGACTGGGCTCCCAATTCCCTGCAGGACCGGTGGAGAGACCTCGGTCCCATCTCTACCGGCCACCTGGGGTTCTTCCCAGTAAAACTGTACCATCTCGTCCCCTCTGAATGGGTCTGGCTCTGGGTCTGTCATGCTGCTCTCCCGCTGCGCCTTCTCACTGTATTGGAACAGCTGCTGGTAACCCTGTTCTAGCTCCATCTCCCGGGTTACCAGGTGGACCAGGTCTTGCTCAATTTCGTGAGTGTCGTCCCAGTCATACCTGCTCTCCCTCCACTCCAAAAGATCACTGAAACGGGCTTGTGTAGGGCTCCCAAATTCGAGCTCTGAAAATGACTCCCATAACAAGCCAGGACCATCAAACTCCTCTCCCTCTGGCTTGTCATGCTCGGCTGTCCAGGGTAGGTACTGTGCCCCATACCACCAGAGCGCCTGGTAGGCATCTTCCAGCCAAATCTCCTGCCATACCTGGTGCTCCAATTCCTTCACCCATTCATCCAGGGGCTGTTCTCCCAGGAAGGGCATCCGCAGGGCTACTCGCTTCTGCAACCGCTGGTCTTCCTTGGGGAGTCTCTTGCCCCGCTGGTACTCCACAATACCCAGTGCCTGGTACCAGATGCCTCTACGGACTGCATCTCGGTCATCCATGGCACCCTCGTCATACTCCACTGCTGGTTCCATGCTGGTGCTGTCAGGGTCGCTGTACTGGGACATGCGTTGCCCTCAAATTGTAAAATCCAAAGAATGGTGTCTCCTGTAGCTGTCCTTCTGGCTGTAGGAACGATCCCGCCGCTTGCCACCAATTGTAACGGACCGTTTTGCACAAAAGGGGAAAAAACCGCTTAGACGATAATCCCCCTTTCAGAGACAGGCACAGCTACTGTAGAATCACCAAAACTCATGAACTGAATACAAGTGAATGCTCCAAACTCCCGAACGGCATACAAGGGAATGCTCCAAACACTCGAACTGCATACAAGGGAATGGTCCAAACACTCGAACTGCATACAAGGGAATGGTCCAAACACTCGAACTGCATACAAGGGAATGGTCCAAACACTCGAACTGCATACAAGTGAATGCTCCAAACTCTCGAACTGCATACAAGTGAATGCTCCAAACTCCCGAACGGCATACAAGGGAATAAGGTAGCACTCCAAATACACGAACAGGAACCATACGAATTGCTGCCACCAGACGAACAGGAAAAGCTCCCAAGCAGCTTACACTCCTGGCAATCAGTCCTTAGCAGCATACAGTAAATCCCCCCAAAGACGAGACAAGGCTCCGTGTTGAGGGTCAAGCAGTGGTCTGAGGTGCTGGCACACCCAGCCTGGTTTTTATTACAGTCTTGTAAATACAGGACCGCCCACAGGGAGGTATAAAACAACCAATCACATATCAGTTACATCCCACATATTCCCTCCCCTTATCCTGAGAGGAAACTCAATTACACATACAGTTAAAACATACTTTCTACCCAACTTTCATAACTCTAAAACCATACATCACATTCACATAAAATTACATATGCACAATCAATCCATTCAGGGGAACAACATATTCAAAAATGGCACAAATCAGACAAGGGGTTCAAAAGTTAGTAAAAAGTCCTTTGTGACTAAATGAAGCATGGCTTTCTGGCCCAAACCAGTTTCAGAGTCTTCTATCCTGGAGATAAGTAATTCAATTATCTCCCAGGATAGACACAAGACTCCATTAAGCACATGGTTGCAAAAAGACACAAAACACTTTAAAATACATAAAGTCACATTTATTACATAAAACACAGACATGTAACATATCCCCAGATAGCTCAGGTCTGAGCGCACATTATTAAGTGAATGGCGCTCAGACCACACAAATAGTTTAATCTCCATGGAGCCAAAGTCTTTACAGTCAGTTTCATACAAATGGGCTCCATGGGATTCCTATCTGGGGTATAACACATTCAAACAAATATACTGAACCCCAGGCAGAAAAGCACGAATACAGCTTTTCTGCAGGCAAAAATAAAGTCTTTTAAAAGGGGGCCATAGTCCAAAGGCAGCAGGCGAGCAACCAGGCTTCTCCAATGCAATGTGGCGAGATTGGTCTCGTCACAGACACGAACATTGCAAAATGAGTGTGAATATCATCACGTTAGGAGCTGTCAGGGAATCTGTGAAGTAAATCAAGGGTTACATGACACCTAACTCTAGCACCATGCTGATAAGACCAAAAAGTTTGAAACTGTAGTCCATTCTTGGTTTCTTTGCTTTGGTTTAAAAAAAAAAAATGTGTTTAAAACAAGGTTTCATTGCTTTCATTTCTCAGGGTAAAATGGCTCAAACATGAGGCCTTTCTGTGCTCATTGGCAAGTTGAGTTGCAAATTAGGGAATAATTTTGGAAAATCCATTTTGAAATTTGCAGATGAGTCAAAAGAGCATTTTTTCTTTTTGCTTCAAATTGTGGGGACTTTCATTGTGTCTAGTCTCACCTCGAACTATTTGGTTTATTAAGTATAGAGGTTTTGTTTTATAGATAAGGTAATTACACATACAGAGAAAATAAGGAGAACTTCTAAAACTCTGGACACTTTGATCTGTAACCATCTCTAAATTCTTGGCCTTAGAGCCTCATACTAAGTGGCTGACCTGAGATGATTTGATGGTCCTGCTCATGATGTCCTAGTGCTAATACTGTGGCTTTTTTTAATGCAGCGTTGAGTCTACAAGAAGCTGGGATCTCCATCATCCATTAATTCAGCAAATAGAAGCAGACTTTTCTTTTTATTTAATTTTCAATAATACGTGTCTGTTTTTTTACCTATATTTATACACTGACCAGCCACAACATTAAAACGACAGGTGAAATGAATAAAACTGCATCTCTAAAATGGCAATTCTTCTGGGGTGTTCTTAGTATGCAATGATTAGAACCTACCAGAGGTTATGCAAGGAAGGATAACCGGTGTACCGGCATCAGAGTCATAGACACCCAAGGCTCATTGATGCACGTGAGGAGCGAATGCTAGACAATATGGTCCCATCACACAGAAGAGCTACTGTACCTCATTTTGCTGACAAACATAATGCTGTCCATGATAGAAATGTGTCAGAACACACAATGCATCGCAG